ACAGTGGTGGACCGCCAAGCATCCGGATGGTGTGGATGGTATCGGGACGTTTGACGTGTAATGCGTTCACGAAATTTGGCGGCTGCGATTAATCCGAACAATTCCTCAGAGCACTCCCCGTGATAGATGCGATAAAATACGCAAAGAGATGCAACATCTCTTCGCAGCGCCAGTGAATCGAGCCGATCGGAAAGCACTCGGTCGTCGACGATTCGAGCCGCTCTGCGCTGGATGCGGTCAAGTGGAAGAAGCTGGTACTGGGGAGCCCCAGCCCAGAGATGGGAACAGTATTCCATGTGCGGCTGAACCTGCGCCTTGTAAAGTTGCAGGCGGTGTGCCGGCATGAAATACTGTCCCGCTCTGCTGAGCACGCCAAGCTTTTTAGAGGCCAATTTGGCCTTCCCTTCCAAGTGACCACGAAACTGCACGTCACTCGATATGTCGACGCCGAGGATTCCGATACTGGCTGAGGCAACGAGGGGGAGTGCCTTGAAACTGAGGGGATACGACAAAGGGGTTCTTTTTAGCGGTTAACGCGCAAACTTGTGTCTTCTGGGGGTTAAACTGGACTAAATTTAGTCGCCCCCAATCCGAGACTCTGTCCAGCAGAGACTCGACTTCAGACACAAGTTTGTCCCGGCACTCGGAGACGTTTTCCCGAGAAATATTGGCTCGGCCGGTGTAAAGAGCATCACCAGTGCTGTCATCTGCATAGCAATGAATGCTACGGGTATGCAACATGTCATTGATATGCAGAAGAAACAGCGTTGGCGATAGCACGCAGCCCTGTGGAACACCAGCATTAATAGTCTTGCAATCGGAGCTTGCACCGTCTACAACGACCTTGATGCTCCGATCTGCAAGAAAGCTGGTGATCCAATCGCACAATTTCTCGGGAAGCCCATAGGAAGGGAGCTTCGAAAGAAGCGATTTGTGCCAAACCCGATCGAAGGCCTTCGCAATGTCCAAACTAACGGCCAATGCCTTCCCCTTGAACTCTACTGCCTCCGCCCATCTGTGAGTTAGGTAGACCAGAAGATCACCAGCTGACCGACCACGGCGAAAACCGTATTGGCGGTCACTAATCAGCTGGTGATCTTCAAGGTACCTCATGAGCTGGCAGTTTACAATGGACTCCATTGTTTTGGAGAACAAGGAGGTGATGGCGATTGGCCTGTAGTTGGACGGGTCAGAGCGGTCGCCTTTTTTAGGGATCGGGTGGACGTAAGCCGTCTTCCATGATTTTGGGACTACGCCTAGGGAGTAGGAGTACCGGAAAAGACGCGTTAAAACCGGTGCCAACTCTGGAGCACACGTCCTCAGCACAATTGGGGGGATTCCGTCAGGCCCACTCGACTTGTGGATGTCCAGGGAGAGGAGTGCTTTGCGAACCGAGCGCTGTGTGAAGTGCACTTCCGGCATGGAGCACTCACACCGCGGGATGGTCGGCGGAGTACTCCCCCCGTCATCGAGAGTCGAGTTAGACGCAAAGAAAGAGCCTAGAAGATCGGCTTTCTCCTTTGCGGTATGGGCCAGTGAGTCGTCCTCCCTGTGCAGAGATGGAAGAGATGGCTGACAGAAATTCCCCTGGACAGCCTTGGCGAGAGACCAGAATGCACGGGTTCCAGAAGGAAGGCGAACTAGTTTCTCGCCAATTCTGCCTATGTGCTCTGACTTTGCCTTGGCAATGACTCTTTTGAAGGACCTAGAGGCGGAATTATACTTCTTTTTTAGAGCGCTGTTGTTTACATCCCGGGACGCTGATGCATCAGCCCAGGCTTGGTAGCACTCCTGCTTACAGAATGATGCTATTTTACAGGAGCGACCAAACCATGGCTGAGACTTGCCGCCAATGGGCACCATAGAGGAAGGAATAAAAAGTTCCATACCCTGAAGTACCACATCAGCAACAGAATCCGCAACAACGTTGGGATCATCCGGCGAGAAGCAAACCCGCCCCCAAGGGTAGGATGCAAAGAAAGACCGCATCCCATCCCAATCGGCTGACCTATAGTGCCAAACACGGCGGCAGCCTGCAGAATGCAACCGCGATTTCAGCGTGAGTGGCACCACACTCCGGACAAGACAATGGTCCGAGGAGCCTAAAGGGGCGTCGACGGAAATCTGATATCCGTCCGGGTGAGAGGTCAGCAGAAGGTCCAACAGGGAAGGTGCATGATCCTCCACATCTGGAATTCGCGTAGGCGAAGTAACCAGTTGTGTCAGACCATATGCCAAGGCAAAATCATGAACAGATCTCCCCGCATGATCGGTTAAACGTGAACCAAGCTATTCGGCGTGATGGGCGTTAAAGTCGCCGAGGATCACGATCTCTGCGGAGGGGATCTGCTGTAGCAACGAATCTGCAGCCATTTGGACGTGGTCGAATAGTCGGTCTGTTTCGGCATTACCGCTATGGGACCTATAGAGGCACCCGTAGACGTGCGGATGGTCGTCGCTGTCTACGCGTAGCCAAAGGATGGACAGGTCCGAACCTTCAAGTCTGCCGAGGCGTCGAGAGCAGATGTCTTCTCTGACGTAAACGCAAACTCCAGCCCGAGTCACAAAGGAGTGTTCCAGTTTGTACCCCGGGTTGGAGAGATACGAGACATCAGCCGGAGAGGACACCTGCGTCTCGGTCAGAAAGAGCAGAGCCGGCCTCGCCGTCTCGAGATGGTAGTGGACGGCGTTTAGGTTAGAGTGAAGTCCCCTGATATTGTAGAAATTCACAGACAGCGTGGCAGGGGTCGCCTTGGTCTTGTTGCTCCGTTTGCCCCGAGCAGTTGTAGTCTTGAGCGGAATTTTGCCCCCCCCCCCCCAGAATACGCGGGGCAGCCTGAGCACCCACGCTCAGAAGTGGAGAAACATGGTCGTGGATGCTCAGCGAGGGATTCTCCAGGGGTGCTGGTACCCTCCTGGGGTAGTCGATCATTATTTAATTCCGCTACCATGTTGATGGGGGGGGATTTGGGGGTGGATTTGAGGAGCACCAGCTGATTAATGACCGCACGTACGGTTTCCGTCGGAGTCGCTCAGTTGCTCATCTTCTTGTTTACCTAACACACCTATGGGCGTAGGTGGTAGAGTACAAGGGGGCGGTCTTAGCGGTTAGTTTGTAAATAGCGAAGGCTTTCGATCGGGTTTAGTACAAATTGCTTCTTTCGAAGCATCCGTCCTATGGCTTCCCGAGAAATTGTGCGATTGGATCACCAGCTTTCTTGCAGATCGGAGCATCTAGGTCGTTGTAGACGGTGCAAGCTCCGATTGCAAGCTTATTAATGCTTGTGTTCCACAAAGCTGCGTGCTATCGCCAACGCTGTTTCTTCCGCATATCAATGATATGTTGCAAACCCGTAACATTCATTGCTATGCAGATGACAGCACTGGTGATGCTCTGTACACCGGCCATACCAATATTTCTCGGGAGAACGTCTCCGAGTACCGGGACAAACTAGTGTCTGAAGTCGAGTCTTTGCTGAACAGAGTCTCGGATTGGAGGCGACTAAATCTAGTCCAGTTTAACCCTCAAAAGACACAAGTTTGCACGTTAACCGCTAAAAAGAACCCCTTTGTCGTATCTCCCCAGTTTCAAGGCACTCCCCTTGTTGCCTCAGCCAGTATCGGTATCCTCGGCGTCGACATATCGAGTGACGTGCAGTTTCGTGGTCACTTGGAAGAAAATGCCAAATTGGCCTCTAAAAAGCTTGGCGTGCTCAGCAGAGTGGTACAGTGTTTCATGCCGGCACACCGCCTGCAGTTTTACAAGGCGCAGGTTTGGCCGCACATGGAATACTGTTCCCATCTCTGGGCTGGGGCTCCCCAGTACCAGCTCCTTCCACTTGACCGCATCCAGCGCAGAACGGCTCGAATCGTCGACGACCGAGTGTTTTCCGATCGGCTCGATTCAATATACAATATTGCATTTCCTTTCGCATATACCATGGGGAGTGCTCTGAGGAATTGTTCGGATTAATCCCAGCCGCCAAATTTCGTAAACGCACTACGCGGCAAACGTCCCGATACCATCCACACCATCTGGATTCTTGGCGGTCCACTGTACGTTTCACAAGAGGTTATCTTCCGCGTACGACCTCTCTGTGGAATAGTTTACCACCAGATATTTTTCCAGATCGATACGGCCTGGGGACCTTCAAGAAAAGAGCTTACTCCTTTCTAAAGGGCCGGCAACGCAACTGCAATTCCCCTGGTGTTGCGGTTGATCATGGGTGGCGGTAGTCACTTAACATCACGTGAGCCGCATGCTCGTTTGCCCCCTCTTCTATAAAGAAAAAAGAAAAAATTTAACGTAGGTTTGGATTTGTAGTGGTACGATTTTGTGTATGTTAAATGTCTGCGTATGTTAAATCTTATTTGAAACTTTGGTATTTTTATCCACTTAGGATCCTAGGGATATTATAGTTATCTACTGTCTCCCGATTAAGCTGTCGTCCAAGAACAAAATATCAAACTAAGCTTTATGGTATAAGACTTTTGCCTGCCTTAATGGCGAATCGTAGCAAAAGTTAAAATATAATCTGTGTCAGTGACAGATCTAAAATTTCGTTGTCTCCACTCGTTCACAAATTCCTTCTTGATTTCTTGCAAACTGTAAATTGACTTGTTTTTGTGTCGCAAGAGTCTAAACTTTTAACATTATACTTGTTATTTTTAAAGTTAGTTTTGTGTTGATTAATTCTGTCCCTGTGATTAGAATAAACAAATTGTATGTACATTAATGATGACCTTGTGTGTGTACACAAATCTATGATTATTTTATTTTGTTCAGATTAAAATACTTATACTCAGAAGTTATTATAAAATATTCACTTAATTTAAGGTACACATATACTGATCGAATTTGCGTGATATGAAGAACGTTCAGTGTATGGCAAGCAAAAAATAAGACTAATTTTCGACGGTATTATGTATACAATTGCGTGTGGTAAAGACCACCTGGAGATCAGGCGAGATTCTTTAGAAATATGTTCACCACAACAGGAATGGTAGCAGCCCCACAACAAGCGACTAATCAAGTCGCACAAAATGGGAGCACTACTTTACCCCGATCCCATCATCAACGAACAGGTACAGATAATGTTACCTAAATATATTATTTCCAATATTGAGACTAATTATAGTTTATAACTTATGTGTTATCACTTAAATATTTTAATAATATAATGCTTACCTGCTATGTGTAATAGTAATTCTAAATTTAAAATGTTTGGAGCTATTTAATCTTGAATTTAGATTAAAGTTTCATTTCAGAGGTAATACTACTTAATACTTACTAATAATTACACATATTACACAACTGTCTCAGACTATGCAGAGACCAGGCATCAAATGTTTAGTTGCCATTAGAAAGTAAAAGGTAAATCTTTCCAATATGGACCATCGATTTCAAAGCCCATATTTTTTTTGTAGATAGTACTCACTAAAAGAAAGCATTTTGCAAAGTTTTAGGTTGCGGAAACTTACGGTTCATGAGATATATTTTTTTAAACTTTTCATACAAATTGGCAAATAACACGCAATTACACCAATTACAAAATTAATTTGACAAATCATTGATGTCAAACGTCAATTAGTGTAGGGTTCCGAATATTTTGAAAGTATCGATACGTACTCGATACCAAGTATCGTATCATAAGTATCAATACTACTTGGTATCGAGTACATTTCGTTAATTTTGGAGACTAGGGGGGGTAAGAAGCCGGGAAGTTGTGCTACGGCGCTCCGTGGCAGCTCCGGCGCTGCGGGATGAGCAGTGCCTCCGCCCTAGCGTAGGGAAGCACAGGCACCTTATCTCGGTGCCTACGCTTCCCTACGGCGGGCGGGCACTGCTCTCCCTCCGCGCCTCCGGGCTCTTATATACACTCTAGGGGTAGGGCAGACAAGACCATGTGGATAGTGGGGTGCTCTGATTCGGTTTTGGGTACTTTTTGAATATTAAATAAGTAAGTCAATAAGTAAGTAAACACTTTATTGTAGTAAGAATTAGATAATACAGAAAGTTGCAAACAATAAAATAAAAGTACAAAAGCTGTACTAATTAAGAAATACAAACAAGTTGCAAACAATAAAATACAAGTACTAAGGTGGAACTTAAATAGAGTAAACTTTATTCTACTTTATATACATATATAATTGCACTTATCAGCTCTTCCTATGCATCTAATTGGTTTGTCATATTTTTCGTCTCCAAAATTAACGAAATGTACTCGATACCAAGTAGTATTGATACTTTTGATACGATACTTGGTATCGAGTAGGTATCGATACTTTCAAAATATTCGGAACCCTACACTAACTGACGTTTAACATCAATCATTTGTCAAATTTATTTTGTAATTGCGTGTTATTTACCAATTTGTATGAAAAGTTTAAAAAAATATATCTCATGAACCGTAAGTTTCCGCAACCTAAAACTTTGCAAAACGCTTTCTTTTAGTGAGTACTATCTACAAAAAAAATATGGGCTTTGAAATCGATGGTCCATATTGGAAAGATTAGCCAAGTAAAATAATTCCAAATAAAGTAAAAGAAATCATAACTATACTACATACTACATTTGACTTGTACTTTTATTTAATGCCATATAGTTTCCTGTTATACTATTAAATTATGTAAGAAACAAATGTTTTTTAAATTTTCTTAAAAATATTATACAGACAGGCATTTCAATAATTCGGAGCATCTTTTAGATTTTAGAGTAAATATGGAACTGATGCTATATATTAGTATGAACTGTATGTAGACATGTACATGTCTGTTACCTAGTATTTCCATTAGAATCATCACTGCTCATGATCGATGCATGTTGTTTAAGTTTTTTTAGAACGCTAATATTATTCCAATATCTCAACCATATTCAAGCTTCAACATTTTATGTGAATGCTAATAAATGTATCAAATAAATGACACTATTTTTAAAGTAATTAGTATTCAACTAATTATTTAAAAATAGTTAGTTATAGTTATTTAAAATTAGTTCTTTTACTGAATAACATATTGAGTTTTTTTATAAAGAATGCAATGTTAACGCAATGTTGATAATTAATTCAGGGAGGCCTCCTGCAGCTCCTAAGTCCTATGACTACCTCTTGAAGGTGCTACTTGTAGGTGATTCCGATGTTGGTAAACAAGAAATTCTGCAAGACTTAGAAGATGGATCTGCAGATTCACCATTCTGTAGTGGAAGTGGTAATATAATTTAATAGTTCATAATTTTTGATTGTCAATATTTATTTATATTTTCATGAACCTAAAATTTTCATGTTCTGTCATAAGTATGAATTCAAATATAGAGCTTACTTCTAAATTAAGGAATTACAGTAGACCCCCAGTAATCTGAAAAACATTTTGCAGGGCAGTATTGGACTTTCGAATTTGTCGGACCCCCTTTATAGTCTGGAATTTTTTTACAAATTTGTAGAAAATTCCAGACTATATAAAGTAAATGAATTGTAATCTGAAAAATTACTGATCAAATGATAAGATTCTAATTGAATTACCAAAATTTACACTTTTATTACCCAACACCAATTAAAACTAAAAAACACTAATAATTAATCACACTGATTCACTTTATTTCGCTCCGAAGCTTCGCTTGTCTCGCCAAAATTCAATACTTCCTCGATGACATCTTGTAGCGCTTTTAAATACACATTATTACCGAAACATCCAGAATATTCAAGTAAATACGCGCGCCAATCGACCAGTCCTATATCACTTGCGTTTGTGTCAACTATAAATTCTTTGCTTGCATCAGTGTATCCCAAAATAGGTGTTTTGCACGGACAGTCCTTGAGCTCCTGGAATGCGATATTGCAACCTTCATCCCAGCAGAAATGTCGCTTCTCCTCGATTAGCTTGTGCAGAGGTTTTGCTATATCTGCAAAGTTCTTCACAAATTGCCGATAGTAGGAGCACAAACCCAAAAATGCTCTAACCTGCGTTTTGTCTTTTGGAACCGGCAATCGGATGTGCGGATACCTTCTTCCGACACTACATATTCCAAAAAGTTGACTTGCCGTTTGAATAGTGAACATTTCTTCGAACTCAACTTGAGGTTGGCACTCTGAATCTTCATGAGCACGCGTTCCAGGTTTTGAAGATGTTCCTCAAACGTACGGCCCACGATGATGATGTCATCCAAGTAGACCAGACAGGCATCGCCAATTATCCCCGTAAGTACAAGCTCCATCAGTCTTTCAAACTTTGCTGGAGCATTGCACAATCCAAACGGCATTACTTTAAATTGCCACAGACCCTTTCCCGTCGAGAACGCAGTTTTCTCCTTGTTCTTAGGGTCAATTTCAACTTGCCAGTAGCCACTTTTTAGATCCAGCGTGCTAATCCACTTTACTCCTGTAAGCATCTCCAGCGTGTCATCAATTCTTGGCAAGAGATAGCTGTCCTTCTTTGCAACGTCGTTCACACGGCGGTAGTCAACACAGAACCGCATGCTGCCGTCCTTCTTCTTTACCAGCACCATGGTTGAACACCATGGACTAGATGAAAGTTCAATAACACCATCCTTTACCATTCCCTCAATCATGATTTCCACTTCTTTTTCACGTGCTACCGGCAATCTTCTTGGCCGCTGAAGGATAGACAATTCTTCACCTGTGTTTATTTTGTGTTCAACCAAGCCAGTCTTTCCTATGTCAGCTTCATTTGATGAGAATACATCGGCATACTTGAGTAACAACTTCTTCACCTTGACCATTTCGTTCAGGGAGAGAATGCTGCGACAGTCTTCCAAAAGTGTGGTGACTCTCGTTCGTGCATCCTTGCTAGGGGTCCCACTCGATAGATATTGGCACCGACGTAACCAATCCACTTCCTCACAAGTACCAACCAGTGTGCCTTTTTCTCTCCTCCTGCGATGTCAGTGGTTCTGACCAAGGTTCGAGCTACTTTCCATGGAAGGTCATTGTTTACCCTTTCCACAAGTACATAACGGTGAGCTTGCCCAGCGTTTTGAGGAACACTAACCGACCCAATCGTTTCGGATCTTGGCGGAAGAACAATCTTCTTAATGCTGTACACATTCCCTGGAACGAACCTTCCATAAAAAGTTCCTTCTGCCCACATTTCAAAACACCTTGCTTAACGTCGATCTCACAACAATTATTCCTCATAAAGTCTAGGCCCAGGATGCAGTCGTCCATTATATCAGCCACGATGACATTATGCAGGTAGATCATGTTGCCTAGCTTCAACTCCATCTCTTTCTCTCCACGGACGGGTATACGCTGACCGGTGGCTGTTACCAAATTAATGCGTTCTCGGTTGTATGCGGAATCCCCAAGGAACTGACTTATAAGTTGGGAACTAACAACCGTACGAGAGGCTCCAGTATCTATGGTCAGTTTACACGGCATTCCGTTGACCTCGCCCTTGATGATCAGACTGTTCCTATCATGGGCTTGTGAGATCGAGATCCTTGGGGCTCTTTTACATCAGCCAGCACCCGCCCCGCAGTTCTGGCCTCTACTCGTTTCCCTGCTCCTGGGCGGTGCTGTTGGTCGCACTACCCTCCTGAGATCGTTCACCTTCCCTTTCTAGGGTTCGCTTAGGGCAGCTGGATCGTAAGTGGCCCCTTTCCCCACAGCCATAGCACCTAGGGCTGTATCCTTTATTGCGGTCGCAAATTGTAGCTGCTGCAACCTCCCTGACGCGATGAGAACGATGATCCTGCCGCACGGCTTCCACCTCCAGTGCATGGGCCAAGGCGTCCTTAAGCGTTTCGTGGTGCCCCAGCCTCACAGCAGCTCTGACTTCAAGGTCGCGGATGCCGTCGATGAATGTCTGCACCAGGTTCCCTTCAACGAGCGCAGGTACAGACCGGTATGCTTTTCGCACCAGCTTCTCCACCTCTAGAGCCCACTGCTGCAGGTTTTCGTTGATGCGCTGTACGTGATCTTTAAGCTGCGCACGAAAGACGTGCTCCAGGTGAGCATCGCCATATCTCGCCTCCAATGCCTCAAGGAGCTGTTCATAAGTCACTTCCTCACCGAGAGCTTCCAGAACTGTTAAGGCCTGGTCGCGCAAGACTAGTGTGAGAGCAGTCATGGCCTGACTTTTATTGCAGCCGTTTGCCTTCATAACAGTTTCGAACTGGATTTTGTAGGCCGACCAGGAAGAAGTCCCGTCGAACGGTGGCACCTTGAACCCACGTAGGGAAGGTGTTGTAGCTACTACGGGAGCTGTAATTCCATCCCCCAGTTTGAGATCGTCCAGCGTTTTCTTCACGTCAGCTATCACGTAATCAACCCGATTGTTTACTTGGTCGATTTGGGTTTTAGCTTCCTTGATTTGGGTTTCAGCTTCCGACAGGCGGTTGTCATGTTGAGCAATCCTATCCTTCACCTCCCTTATCTCTTTCCCGAAGTTAGCGTGAATGTCCTTCACGACGAGCATCTACTCTTCCTGTCGGCGGGCCTGTTCCTCCTGCTGCTCTTTTAACCAACGGGCCTGTTCCTCTTGTCCGCCCCACAGCTGCTCTTCCAACTGACGGACCTGTTCCTCCTGTCGGCGAGCCTGTTCCTCCTATCGGCGAGCCTGTTCCTCCTGTCGGCGAGCCTGTTCCTCCTGTCGGCGAGCCTGCTCCTGCAGCATCACCATCAGAGTACCTAAGTCAGGTGCTGCAGATGTAGGAGCTACTGACGGGGCTGCAGCCGGCGGCTGGCCCTCCGTCGTCTGCGGCGTTGCACCACCAAATCTTCTTTGGTCCGTCTCCTGCTGGCGTCGACTTCGGGTACGGACACCCTCCGTTTCCTCCTTAGGTAAAATCGGCATGATTTTATCTCACTTCTGACACCAATTGTTACGAGCTTGAGGTTCGTGACAATAACAACTGCCGATTGAATTACCAAAATTTACACTTTTATTACCCAAAACCAATTAAAACTAAAAAACACTAATAATTAATCACACTGATTCACTTTATTTCGCTCTGAAGCTTCGCTTGTCTCGCCAAAATTCTATACTTCCTCGATCGCAACTTGCAGCGCCTTTAAATACACATTATCACCGAAACATGCAGAATATTCAAGTAAATACGCGCGCCAATCGACCAGGCGCCGAAAGTTCGAGTGTAGGGCTTCCAGAAAGCTTAGTTCTTCATTTCGATACTAGATGGCGCTGTCGGTTGAAAGATTGGTGATGTCATTTTCTGACCAATTTATCATCTTGAGTGATAAGATCTTAGGCTAGTATGTAGTATCGGAGACATTGAGACAAAAGCTCGATACAATCAAACCCGATAATCAACAATTTGTGTTTTTGTATAAATATTGACTCTACCTATGACTTGGATCTGTGATATAGCAACTACAGGGCTACATGGTTTCCAGTGCTTTCACCCCATTTGCAATCAAATTCACCAAGCCACATCAACAAAAACTAAATTTGGTGTAACAAAAATGATGCTCTGTATTAAGTATCTGTATTGTAACTCGTATTAGATAATCATTTTCAAACAATAATAGGACTATTACTACTACTATTTCAATTTTGTATAGTTTTATAACCGACTTCAGAAAAAGGGAGAGGTACTCAATTTGACAGCATTTTTGTTATGTGTTACCTCGGAACTTTTTTTGTAGGTGAACCATTTTTGATGATTCTTTTTATTTGAAAGCTGATGCTTCTCATGTGGTCCCATATCAATTAAATCAAGATCTGACCAGTAGTTTTTGAGTTAGCCTTAATAATGCATATTTGTGCATATTTAATTGCTTTGACTATGTTGAACATGTTCTCATTTTATTTATATTGAAGTCGGTTCTACAAAATTTTTAATTATAGCACTTGTTAAATTACAGCCTATAAAACGACAACAATCCTGCTGGATGGCAAAAGAGTGAAGCTGCAGCTTTGGGATACGTCAGGTCAAGGCCGATTCTGCACAATTATACGGTCTTATTCACGTGGTGCTCAGGGTATACTCTTAGTCTATGACATTACAAATAAATGGTCTTTTGATAGCATCGATAGATGGCTTGAGGAAGTGGAAAAGGTAAAAATTCTTCTAATAGTTAAGTTCAGCACAGTATGAAACTTTTCCTTCTTTATTTTTTTTTATAAATGATACTCTCACACTAATATTTTCTACTGTATTGTGAGGGCATTTTGCATACATAAATTTTACGAGGATGAACATCCATACACGAAACAATTATTGCTATACAAATACTTATTCTGTGCGGGATTCGAACTCGCGGCCCTCAGCGCCGTAACTTAGTTTATATAACTGACTGTATTATTTAACAATCAAATCTATTAATTAATATGCAACAAGGAAAAACACTCTGCCTATTTTTTAGCATGCACCTGGTGTACCAAAAGTACTAGTTGGGAATCGGTTACATCTTGCATTCAAACGACAAGTACAGGAGCGTGATGCGGAATTATATGCAGCAAAAAATCATATGGCTTTCTTTGAAGTGAGCCCTCTATGTGACTTTAATATAAGAGAAAGCTTCTGTGAATTGTCACGCATGGCCTTGCACAGAAATGGTATGGAGAGACTGTGGAGAAGCAATAAAGGTAAAAAGCTCTTGATTACCCTTAAATTATTTTTTCATTTTGTGCTTAACATATTTTTTATGTGATATTTTTAAGTAAATTGAATTTTTAAAAAATTCAAATAAGAATAGGATTGACCATATTGTGACGTCATAGATGTAAATTCAAACCAGTTAGGTAGGGTGAGCAAAACAGCCATTTTAGAAATATTATTAATAAAAGAACCATGAAAGAAAAAGACTTGGTTTTTTTTATAGAAGAGGGGGCAAACAAGCATGCGGCTCACCTGATGTTAAGTGACTACCGCCGCCCATGATCAACTGCAACACTAGGGAAATTGCAGGTGCGTTGCCGGCCCTTTAGAAAGGAGTAACAGTGGCGAAGCCGACCTGGGGACATTCAAGAAAAGAGCTTACCTTTTCTTGAATGTCCCCAGGTCGTATCCGTCCGGAAAAATCGCCGGTGGTAAACTATTTCTCAGAGAGGTCCTACGCGGAAGAAAACTTGTGAAACGTACAGTGGTGGACCGCCAAGCATCCAGATGGTGTGGATGGTATGGGGACGTTTGCTGCATAGTGCGTTCACGAAATTTGGCGGCTGGGATTAATCCGAACAATTCCTCAGAGCACTCCCCGTGGTATATGCGAAAGAAAATGCAAAGAGATGCAACATCTCTTCGCAGCGCCAGTGGATCGAGCCGATCGGAAAGAACTCGGTTGTCGAAGATTCGAGCCGCTCTACGCTGGATGTGGTCAAGTGGAAGGAGCTGGTACTGTGGAGCTCCAGCCCAGAGATGGGAACAGTATTCCATGTGCGAATTGTAAAGTTGGAGGCGGTGTGCCGGCATGAAATACTGTCCCGCTCTGCTGAGCACGCTAAGCTTTTTAGAGGCCAGTTTTGTCTTCTCTTCCAAGTGACCACGAAACTCGATATGTCGACGCCGAGGATTCCGGTACTGGCTGAGGCAACAAGGGGAGTGTCTTGAAACTGAGGAGATACGACAAAGGGGTTCTTTTGTGGCCATTGAAGGAAAAGGGGAGATCTCCCGCTGGGCTAGGTGTTATGCCCGGGGAGCGGCCAACACTCCGTGTGATAGTTCGGAGATGTTCTATATATACTGTTTATGATTCGGAATTTTGATAGCGTGATTTAGACTTCGATGTGTTTGGCTTGCGGCGCGACGACCGCCGCCACATCACCAGTGCTCAGACCGGAGGTCGATAGTGCAGCCTCGTTGCCGACGAATGTGCAAGTGCCACGAGATTGCCTTGTAGTCTGCGGTGAGTCGAGAAGAAGGCAAGTAACTGCGAGAGTGCCGTGAAGCAGAGGCGAGCAGTAAGGCTCAGAGCCGTGCCGAACACTGTATAGCGCTGAGAGTAGCTTGAAGGAACAGGAAGCATTATTATTCCAGTGCTGCGATGAACCTTGTGAAGCTAGATGGCTTGCAGCATATGAAGACTGCAGACGATATCTGCTCGGTTGGGGTATTTTATGACGATGATTAAGCTTAAAGGTTGTTGGTTGCGTGTTCGTATCACGTCGGGTGGTCACCACTGTGACCGTGGAAGGAATCGGGGAGATCTCCCGCCGGGCAAGGTGTTCTGCCCGGGGAGCGGCCAACGCTCCGTGTTATAGTTCGCAGACGTTCTATATGTACTGATTATGATTCGGAATTTTGATAGCGTGATTTAGGCTTCGATGTGTTTCACTTGCGGCGCGACGACAGCGCCGCCACACTTTTTAACTTGGCTAGATTTAGTTGCCCCCAATCCGAGACTATTCAGCAAAGACTCGACTTCAGACACAAGTTTGTCCTGGTACTCGGAGACGTTTTCCCGAGAAATATTGGCACGGCCGGTGTACAGAGCGTTACCAGTGCAACATATCATTGATATGCAGAAGAAACAGTGTTGGCTATAGCACGCAGCCTTGTGGAACACCAGCATTAATAGGCTTGTAATCGAAGCTTGCACCGTCTACAACGACCTTGATGCTCCGATCTGCAAAAAAGCTGGTGATCCAGTTGCACAATTTCTCGCGAAGCCCGTAGGAAGGGAGCTTCGAAAGAAGCGCTTTGTGCCAAACCCGATCGAAGGCCTTCGCAATGTCCAAACTAACGGCCAATGCCTCCCCCTCGGTTTCTACTACCTCCGCCCATCTATGAGTTAGGTAGACCAGAAGACCACCAACTGGTTGATCCCGACGAAAGCCGTATTGGCGGTCGCTAATCAGCTGGTGATCCTCAAGGTACCTCATGAGCTGGCAGTTTACAATGGACTCTATTGTTTTGGAGAACAAGGAGGTAATGGCGATAGGCCTGTAGTTGGGCAGGTCTGAGCGGTCGCCTTTTTAGGGATCGGGTGGACGAAAGCCGTCTTCCATGATTTTGGGACTACGCCTAGGGAGTTGGAGTACCGGAAAAGACGCGTTAAAACCGGTGCCAACTCTGGAGCACACGTCCTCAGCACAATTGGGGGGATTCCGTCAGGCCCACTCGACTTGTGGATGTACAGGGAGAGGAGTGCTTTGCGAACCTAGCGCTGTGTGAACTGCACTTCCGGCATGGAGCATTCACACCGTGGGATGGTCGGCGGCGTACTCCCCTCGTCATCGAGAGTCGAGTTAGGCGCAAAGAAAGAGCCTAACAGATCGACTTTCTCCTTTACGGCATGGGCCAACGAGTCGTCCTCCCTGTGTAGAGATGGAAGATATGGCTGACAGAAATTCCCTTGGACAGCCTTGGCGAGAAACCAGAATGCACGGATTCCAGAAGGAAGACGAACTAGTTTCTCGCCAATTCTGCCTATATGCTCTGACTTGCTTTGCCTTGGCAATGACTCTTTTGAAGGACCTGGAGGCGTAATTGTACTTCTTTTTTAGGGCGCTGGTGTTTACATCCCGGGATGTTGATGCGTCAGCCTAGGCCCGGTAGCACTCCTGCTTACAGTATGATGCTAGCTCCTGTAAGAGCGACTAAACCATGGCTGAGATCTGCCTCCGATGAGCATCACAGACGAGGCCATAAAAAGTTCCATACCCTTAAGTACCACGTCAGCGACAGAATCGGCAACAACATTGGGATCGTCCAGCGAGAAGCAAACCTGCCCCCAAGGGTAGGATGCAAAGAAAGACCGCATCCTATCCCAATCGGCTGACCTATAGTGCCAAACACGACGGAAGTCTGCAGAATGCAACCGCGATTTCAGCGTGAGTGGCACTACATTCCGGACAAAACAATGATCCGAGGAGCCAAGGGCATCGACGGAGATCTGATATCTGTCCGGATGAGAGGTCAGCAGAAGGTCCAACAGGGAAGGTGCATGATCCTCCACATCTGGATTCCGCGTAGGCGACGTAACCAATTGTGTCAAACCATATGCCAATGCAAAATCATGAACAAATCTCCCCGCATGATTACCAAAAACGTGAACCAATCCCATTCGCCGTGGTAGATGTTGAAATCGCCGAGGATCGCGAACTCTGCGGAGGGGATCTGCTGTAGCAACGAATCTGTCGCCATTTGGACGTGGTCGAAGAGTCGGTCTGTTTCGTCATTACCGCTATGAGACACGCGCGGATGGTCGTCGCTGTCTACGCGTAGCCAAATGATGGATAGGTCCGAACCTTCAAGACTACCGAGGCGTCGAGAACAGATGTCCTCTGTGACGTATACGCAAATTCCAGCCCGAGGCACAAAGGAGTGGTCCAGATTGTACCCCGGATAGGAGCATCAGCCGGAGAGGACCCCTGCGTCTCGGGCAGAAAGAGCAGAGTTGGATTCGCCGTCTCGAGATGGTAGTGGACGGCGTTTAGGTTCAAGTGAAGTCCCTGATATTGCAGAAATTCACGGATAACATGGCAGAGGTCGCCTCGATCTTGTTGCTCATCTTGCCCCGAGCAGTTATTGTCTTGAGCGGAATTTTGCCCTCGATTGTGGATGCTCAACGAGAGATTCTCCAGGGGTGCTAGTACCCTTCTGGGGTGGTTTAACATTTTATTCTGCTACCATGTTGATGGTGGGGAAGGAGATTTGGGCCTCCGGCCACCTGCACTCACCAGACGAAACGCGGGAGCAGAGCTTTCACTTCACGCTGGTATTCTATGAGGTCGTGGTACTACCCCGGTTTGCGCCGGCCCACAAGTGCAACAGCTAAGCTGCCGCGTGGCTCCAATATGGAGTAAAAGATATTCTTAAACTGCCATTACAACCTATATGCTATATACCTTATAATAAATTGCTTGTTTGTCTGATCTTGATTATTTATAAGATAATTAGTAGTGTGATAAGTATTGTGATTTAAATTCAGCCCCTTTTAAGTGTGCAGTATATCACAGACGTGGTAGAGGCATGCCGCAGCTACATTAATTGTATAGGAATAGGTCAGCTCGACTGGGGAAAGACCACACACTCCCAGAATACCAGCGTAAAATAGCAGCTTACTGGAAAACAGATCTTAGTCCTCACGGCTGACAACACATCTGCAATTCGATTCGCAAACGAGGATAGATGTAGATGTCTATGGGCCACAGCAACCACTTACCATCAGGTGGACTGTGCTCGCTTGTCACCCTTATCATATAAAAAAAAGAAAAAAATCACTTATTGATAAACTATCCACAGTGCTCAGCCTTCAAGAGTTGTGTTGTCGTGCTATAGTGGCGCGAACGTCTGTGTATGGCTTAGAACGACTGCCTTTACCAACTACATTGAAGTCTCATCTTAAGTCGTATGCTATTTCTGCGGCTCCAAGCAGACATCGTGCTCGCCCTCCAAAACATCCACATAATGCAAGACTTAACTGCACTGGTCGTAATTCCTGTACAATTGCATGAAATTTCACCTAAATACCGAATTTCACATTCTGACTGATAGATACATATTGAAAAAATCATATAATTATTTATCTTTTTCATTTAGTATCCACTGACCCAAAGCACTTTTCCAGTTTTTGGTCCACTTAAAATTTGTATCTGACTACTACCTTGTTTCATTACGATTTTTAGCTCATGATACAAAATCATTTGAAATTCGAATGTATAATCCAACCAGAAAGTTAAAAACTTCCAACATATTGCAGTTATTCATGATACTATTTAACAGTAACACTTATTGTCATTTTTATATGAACTTATAATTTTTATGATTGTACTACATTAAAATTATTCGGGAGTTTAATCCTACATTGTGATTAAATTGTTCAAAAAAAATATTAAATAAGGTTAATCATTTGTTTATGTTATATTTGATGAAATTTTTTACCTATCGATTTTCAAAGCTAAAGAAAAATTCTTGTCCAAGGATTAAATGAGATATTTGTGAAATGTGTGCAATAAGGCAAATACATGAATTGTATGTGGTATATAACGAAACCATAAGCTTTCAGAATTACTTAGGCTCTAAATTTATTTTAGTGGTGACAAAATCACTCTCAATATGAAAAAAGATATGAATGAAACACATACAGAGGTCTGCGTCTAGTGGATTATTATTTGAAACTTAAGTAAAGCTACTTAGTCTATTGCAAATAAAAAATAACTTATGCCGAATACTATTTCTTGCCTAATAAAGTCCGTAAAAAGCTTACAGAGTTTTTATTTTCTGGTCAGGCTATATAAGAAAAGTTTTAGTAAAAAATATATAAACATTAATCTTGTAAATTATTTTAAAAGGTGATTTTTATTAATAAAAATATTAGATTTCCAACGTTTCAATGTACTTACTTAACATAGATTGGCCATGCAAGAGCTATCAGAAGAAAGTTGTTTTCTCACACCATTTGCCTGTATTCATGAATACGATATTTATTTGAGACTTATATTAATATTTAAAAATTCAATTTGGACACTTGTATTTTCGGTGTATATTAGCGCACATTTTGATGGTATTCTATACAAGTTTTTAACAACTTTTATGTAGCATTAGGTTTCCTTTGAGCAATATTAAAGCAAAGATAACCTCTCAGTTCTTTGACTATTTTCAAGTAATATGTAAATTTTGGTAATAGATAAAACTTGTATTGCTATAAATCTGTAGTTTGTCCAATTGTTGAATTGTTCGAGTGTTATGTATTGTCTTAGAAATATTAAAAAACAAGCCATGAAACGCACTTAATGTCCAATGTTGTATTATCCTAACAAAATACAGGCTGTAACTGACAACGGATTTGTGATTAGTATTATAAGTGATTTTAGCATAAGGTATTGTTACTTAACTTACAGTGTGAATATAAGTGTTATTTAATTATAACAGTGTGTGAATATTATGTAACCTCCTGTATTGTCCATTTAATCTAATAATCTAATATAACATAGTAATATTATAACTATCATTATGTGCCTAGTATTAGACATAACTTTAATCTGATGAAATACATTGAGATACAGATTTCATTATTTTATTTCAAATTTAATTCGACCTTTTTAACTGACTTAAAAAAGGAGACACTATTTCTTTTGAACCGATTTAAAAAAGGAGGAGGTACTCAATTTGACTGTATATTTTTTTAAATGTGTGTTACCTCAGAACTTTTTTCTAGGTGAACCGATTATGATGATACTTTTATAATACAAATCTGGTGCTTCTGATGTGATCCTATATAAATTTGATCAAGATCAGACCATTTTGAGTTATCCATAATAATGCGTATTTAATTGATACCGACTACATTGATGATCTTCTTATTTTATTTATATTATAGCTCGTTGTATATATTTTTTTTTTATTTTACCACTTGTATTGTTTGAAGTTTGAAAAACCGAACTGTGGTTGATAAATTCGACTTGTATATATATGTAAATAAATATTTCGAACTTAAATGTCCAACATTGCATTATTTGGTACAGAATTTGGATCGAATTTTTCAGTGACAATCTAAAACAATTTTTTTTAATAACACTACTATAAATACTGGGAAAATATTTAAACTTCGTGTTACATAATAAAAGATTAAAAATTTAACTTAAAGCTTGTCTTACTAAGTTGTTCTCGTAGAGTCAATTTCTTTACCTAAAATATTTTTTTAATGAATTTCATCTAAACTGTCAGAACAAAGGTACGTCTTTCATTAATACAGTATATTACTTCTGAATGTGAATTTAACAGATTTCACTTAAATTCTACCTATAATTAAGTAAGATAGATAATATTGGCCAATATTTTAATTTGAAGTAAATGTTCATGTGAAATTTTACTCAGTATTTATATGTCGGTAAAATGGGATAAATCGAAACAAGTCTGGTTATTTGATTTAAGTTGTCTTTAGGTTTATCTACAAATCGGGAACGTGTGTTTATTTCTACTGTTTATTATATGCTAACATTTTTCCTTTATTTTGGCAATTTTGATAAACCTCGAGAAAACTATACCAATGACCAGACTTGTTTCTATTTACCCCGCAATTTCTATCCACCCCAATTTTCAGTACTAACTGATATTAACTGCATTTATTTAACTCAACTTGAGCAAATATTTGCGACACCAAAAATTGTAAATTCTAACTTTTAATGTGAATAATATATATTTTTAGTAATTATTTACATTTGCATATTTTTTTAGGAATTAGTCAGTATTGTGTATAATAATATGTATTATTCACTATATATTTTCAGATAATGGTTGTGTGTATTTTATCGTGTGACAATACATAATTGATTTTGCATTTAACATTTGGCTAATATCTAGCAACGACTTGTTAAACTAACTATATTTAACACTTTGTCATTCAAATTAGAGGACCTTTTTCGTACATACCTACATTCTCCACGAATGCATACGTTCAAGCTATTAGATACTTACTTTGCAAGGATAAATAAATTTTACATAACACTTATTACCATGATAATCTCATTAAAGATTTTATAGTAATAAAAAGACAACTCAAACCCATAAAGATTTTTGTTACAACGGCTTTTTTTCTTAGCTGGACTCATATTGCATTGAGTTTGTATGTACGAATAAAGGAACTTTGATATTAAATTTCAGCAAATTTACACCAGATGCATACCTTTTGCTTTGACGCGTATATACGTATGTTATCGAACTTTGAAACTGCATCAAACAAGTTTGGTTCAATCCGTCCCTAGAACGTAACTGATTCAATTATTTATAGCAAGTGGAATGTAATGAACTTGTATTAAATCACCATGAGTAGGTCTAATGCACAAAAAAAACAATATTTTGTTTTATAACATTCGTGTGATTTGTCAATTTATTTACCAATGTTTAATAAACTACATTTAATGTGGATACAGTAATCTTTAGGTATCTATATCTGAATATGTCGTCTTCAAGTCGTCATGTATGGGTAATCATAATGAAATGGAATATTATATTACATGACTAATAAAACAGCACCTAGGATACCGTAATAGCATATCTACCTAATCCGAGACTTAAAAATATATTCGAACTGCTTGCTTTGCTGTGTCTGGTACTAAAATATAAGTTAGATTGAAATTATTATGTTTGACATTGTTCCAAAACAAAATATTGTAATTTTTAACCCAACATTCAAGAGAAAATACCAAATATTTTCTCTTGAATGTTAACTTTAGTCTCATTAAATACATTCAATTAAATTCAAAATGACACTGACTCGCAAAAATTTAATAAGAACAGTTAAATTAACGTTTGTGTACGAAACATTGAATGACTGATGAAAAAATAATTTCATAAGAAATTAAGTCTGCAAAAAATTTACTACCGCATGGAGACGGCCGATGTACTGCTAGCCGCTTAGATGTTTGCCACTTTTATTTTTATATCTTAAGTACTCATTTTGTTCAGCATTATTTTATACCTTATAACTGTATAATATAGAAATCAAATCCTGTTGAGCTAAATTTTGTACATATTACTATTATTATTTTATTTGTGATAGTTTTAGTTCAACATAATATAATCCAAATATACTAACGCCAACTGAAAGTTTGGTTCATAAAGTCATAATGTTATCACTACTATTGTAAGTTGTGAATTAAAACTAATTTATAATAATTAAATGAGTTTATTTTTAACTTAACCTTCTCCCTTTATTTGATCTTTAGTACTGTGAAGTTGTTTTTGACAACCAACAAATAAAAGAAACTTTTATGACGTGGTAGAACCATACTAGAGCTATATTAGTAGTGTAGTTGTAGCAGAAATGTGTCGGCTCGACCGGGGAAGGACCACGCTATCACCGAATAAACCAGCCAAAATAGCAGCTTATTACTGCTGTGTTTCGTATGGTGAGTATAGAGTTCCGGAGACCCTTTTTTAATGGAAACGATCCATCTTGATCCTCCCGGGTGACAATCTGCATTTTGATTCTTAATCGAACATAAATGTAGATGTCTATGAGCCACAGCAACCACTTACCATCAGGTAGACTGTGTGCTCGTTTGTCACCCTATACAAAAAAACTTACAACTTGTATCTAATACAACTTTGTCACACAGCTTCAACTGGAATTGGGTGACCCGGCCAGAAACAGAAGCAGAAATTTATTTTTTTTCAATTTAAACTTATAAACAATACTTATTGAAAGTCACTCTTGTTCAATTACTACTGGTTCGGAAAAAAGTTCCTTGCTACAGCAGATCCCATGCAGAGATGTGATCCTTGGAGATTTCAACACCCGTCACGCCGAATGGCTCAATTCAAGTTTAACCGATCGCGTGGGGAGATCTGTTAATGACTTTGCCTTGGCATATGATCTGACTCAACCAGTTATTTCACCTACGCGGATTCTAGATGTGGAGGATCATGCACCTTCCCTGTTGGACCTTCTGCTAACCTCTCATTTGGACGGATATCAGGTCTCTTGGTTCCTCGGACCATTGTCTAGTCCGAA